AAAATATCGAGTGATATTTCGCGCAGGTCGCGCGAAATACGAGCTTTCCCAAAAGTCAGATTTTTAGGAGCCAGCCATAACATGGGCTCACGGTTTTAGGACCGACCATAAGAACCTTGCTCATCAAGCTCACAAAATCAACATCCCGAGCCAAAAAGCAAATCGACAAAGCACTACCTACCAAGCAGCCAAAACAACAAAAGATGGTTTTTTTCTCTGATCCTGCCGCTTCCAGTGTCGTTCAAGATGCTACTAGTATCTTTGCCTTGGACGGAGGCGATGAAATCTGCACAGCACCTCGAAGGAAAAGCAGCCTACGCAAGCTCATGGATTTCTCGGCTGCCTCCAACTCCTCCGAACTTGGAAGCACAAAAAGATCGTCTCGCAAGTCAAAGATTCGTCGCAGCCAATCTACTGTCAGCAAGAATTCCAATAGTGCCGATATGCAACAACATCTCGAGGAGATGGAAGCATTCTGCCAAGCCTTGCAAGATGTTGGAAGCAAAAAACGAAAGAAGATCCTTCGCCAGTCCATGATGAGGGCGCACTCCATGAGAAAGCTTGGTTCCGCATAATTGCAACTACTGTGCGCCTTCCCCCTTTGATAGATTGTTCCAATAACATTACATATAAGTACGAACCAGTTTTATTTCCATTCCATTGTATCTTTGTTTCCGTAAACGGGACATGCAGCTAGCTAGCCGGGCCTTGCCCTATGGCAATTTCAAGTTTGAAGATATATATGGGAAAGCCTCCACAGAAGAAAAAAATTGAATTACCATAAGCTTTGTTCGTTGTTCGTTCTTACAGTAGGCGTGGAACAATCCGGCAGAGACTAACTCCATTCATAGTGAAGCACCAGTAGCAGAGCAAATGAGGATCCACAACCTTGAAGCCAGCATGACCGGCAGGTAACTGTAGGTGGTGCCTGCTCACCCAGCATTGGCATTGGATGAGCTGGCACCAACAAGATAACAAGCACCAAGTGCTTATTCTCTTGT